AAAGCTGCAATTTGCTGAAAAATAAGTGGCATGTACAGATTTAATGTTCTGTTTGAACAAATTTTTGTAAATTGATATGGGATCCATAAGAAGATCCACAGAAACGTGACAAGTACAAGGAAGCCAAAATACAGTAGACATACACATGGAAAAAGAATATGAGAAATCAGATCCAGACCTTCAAAAATCAGTAGTCACACATAATAAAAGAGTTTCACTTGCACTCAGTCCTCAGACCATATAGTTTTTCAGCCTGTGCAAAGTAAAGCTATTACCTCTTTGGGGGTAGTGCTATTTGATAGGTGGCTCACACATTCTGAAAACTAGACTTTTTGGCTGCACCCATGAATAAACTCACCTCTGTTTAAAATGCAAAATTCCCTATTTATTCAGAGATACTTTACTATATCTCCAGTCCTCCTCTTTCCAATCTGTTTCATGGTGTCACTTATACAGGAGCGCAACCTTTACTGTTCTTCAGAGTGTGCATCTTTTACCTGGCATACCTGGCTGTTACCAGAGTGGTCAATGTGTTGCGGTCAAGATGCAGTGACCAGTCATCTCCGTGGACTTGAATCCTGTGGCTGGCCACAGAAAAAAATATTTTAGGGTGGATTGCTCTACAGGTTAAAGGTGGCTAGAGTGGTATATACTGACCATGAATCAGTCTTTATCTGGCTGCCTCTTATTTCCGGGGTGCAGGCAATTTCACCTGTCAAAATAGGCCATAAATGGGACACTGGGTGTGTCTACTACACTTTAATGCTTATTAGTCTATTTTAATGAGCACTAAAGTGTTACAAAAAACTGTGCACTTTCACTAATGCACATTAAAATAAACTAATTCACTTTTTTCTAGTACCTCACAATGGAGGTATTAAATTTAATGTGTGTTACCAAAAGTGCATTAATGAACGTGTAGATGCTCCCACTGTGGCTTCACACGCTCATGTTTGTACAAGGGCTTAGAGTTCTGCAGGCTGATGGCACTTACCACACCCAAAATACGATTATAGCTTTAAACAAGCTTTTCAAAATGCACATATGTTGTTGCAGGTAAACTTGAATTTCCAATTTTGTCAATGCTTCCTAAAAATACCAGGGCCTTTTACAATTTTGTCTTCCCTTCTTTATGTGGGAAAACATGCTGAAACATTTCAGTGGACATTTGGATTTATAAACATTTGTTTTCCTCTCCTGCTCTCTTCGCGTATTCTAAAAGAACACCTTGTTCTAGCTTCTCTCATTCCCTTAGCAGCAATTCATTTTCACTTCTAGGGGTAGTGCTACATTCTCAATCAATTTTGGGGACTTTCTGGATCACACAACATATTATATTCATTTCCATTTCTAGGAAAAAGCACCTCTAGGATGTCCCGGAGGCTTGAGTCAGGCCCATTTCCAGCTATTTTGGCAGGATCATTTTGGTCTTCAAGTATCTGTTTTCTTGGAACTAGGATCTTCTCACATGTTGCACCACATTTCTCTCTGTTTTCCCATTTTAGCTTTAGCTTTCTTCATGCTTTAGCTATGCTTCTGCATGATGCTACTGATCAGCTACTGATTCAGGAATTCCAGATACTAAATCCTACTGGTTCCCCTCCCCCTTCCTTCTCCCCCTTAAGTAAGGCAGACCTCCCTGCTAGGGACCAAAGGGCAAAAGAAATTAGGCCGGACCCCGTAGTGGCACAGACTGCACTCTCTTTTTCTGTGCATTGTGTTTTCCCATCAAGCCACTTCCATGTAAGGTGGTACTTTCAGGGGCAATGAGATAGGTGGGATTCTGGGAGGGCATTATTACCGTATGCATCTCCTCTCATCCATCAGTTGTCCTGTGAAGAGACACGATTTGCATAGAAAGGCCATTGCATTGTTATTTGTATGCATTTCCATTTTTATTTCTATCCTGTTTCTCCTCTGAACATGATTCTTCTTTCCTGACTGCCTCCACTCTTTTTCCATTTGCCTCATATTGCATCTGTGGTGGAGTTGAAATGAGTAAGATTCTTTCTTCCATATCTCAATTCCACGATTATGTCATTGGGGATATGCACACCATTGGGAATGGTGCCTGCTAGGAAATGAGAAAAATGGTTAGGAAGCTGCAGCTTGGGAACCAGTGAGGGGAGCTCAAGTACCGTTTTTGGTAGGTCCTACATTAATTATGTTACTGGCTATTTGAGTTTTAATTTTGCCAGGGGGAGAGACTGAAAAACAGGTGCTAGGGGCTGGATTAGTACCTGTGCCACATTTAAGATGACACCAAGACCATGAGGGGGAGGGAGAGAGAGAGAAGCAAACTCCTTTGATAACTGCACAACATGCAAGTTTTCTGTGGCTGTGAATTGTGCTTAGATGTTCAAGGTAGGAAGTAAACTGAAATAATAAGGCTGATGGGAGTATTTCTGGGAACAGATTTCGATGAAAATGGACTTAAGAAGGTTCATGCAGATTTTTCCACGCTCTCTAAATTGCAACCAGGAAATTCCTGTAGGTGTCAGGAAATGAGCTAATCCACAGTAAAGAAGTGTAATGTAAGAGGAAGATGAGCGGGATGAGGGGCTGTACCCCATGCTACCTGCTCACTTCTGCTTTGCTGCCAAGACCTTTCCTGCCCTTTTCCATTCACCTTGCTCCCAGAGCAAGAGTTACTGCAGGAAAAGATTTGGTTTCCCTTCTTTGGGGTGCTTCATTTACAATTGGGTTTGTGCAGGCTCATGGTACAAGCCAATGTAAATGTGGGTGAGCTGAAGGACAGGGATGTGCATAAATATAGGTGGCCACATGTGTAGGAGCATCTCTGAGTACCTGGCTAGAGATGAATGCACACAGGGACAGTTCCAGTCAAGCACCCTTGTCCTCCACCATGCATCTAGCACCCATGCTGACTTGCACAGGCTTAGACCTACGTGCTGGTGCATACTGAGGGGGCATGGGCTCGGCTGGGTGTCTGTCTGCATTTGCAAGCTGGGTCAGTGCACGCTTTTTTACAGGTTTTACTATGTTCTCTGCGAGAGACTGGTTGTGAATGGAGCTGCACACGGTGTGGGCACTTGTGTGTGAGACAGATCTGGGAATGTGTGTGTCTATGAGAGATCTAGGTGAGTGTGTGTGTGTGTGTGTGAGAGAGAGAGAGACAGAGAGAGAGAGAGAGAGAGAGAGCGATCTGGGCATGTGTGTATGTGAGATCTGGGTGAGTGTGAGAGAGAAATCTGGCCACGTGCATGTGTGAGAGATCTGGGTGAATGTGACAGAGATCTGGGCATGTGTGTGTGAGAGAGAAATCCGGGCATGTATAAGTGTGTGTGTGAGAGTGAGTGAGTGAGAGACAGATATGGGCATGTGTGTGTGAGAGAGATCTAAGCATGTGTGTGTGTGTGTGTGTGTGTGTGTGTGTGTGTGTGTGAGAGAGAGAGAGAGAGACCTGGGCACTGTGTGTGAGATCTGGGTACGTGTGTGTGAAAGAGATATATTGCGGTGGTGAGATATGGGTGTGAGAGAGAGAGAGAGATCTGGGCATGTGTGTGTGTGATCTGGGCACGTGCGTGAAAGAGATATGGTGGGGGAGATCTGGGCACGTGTGTGTGAGTGCAAGGCGAGGGGCCGGGGTGAACGGGAAGCGCAGAGACCGCTTTGATTGACGCCCCTCCTGCTGCCGCTGCGCTGCTCAGCCCGGAGCCGCCTGCCAGCTCGGCTCGCCGAGGCCGGGGAGCCAGGCGAAAAGCAACTGGCTGCAGCTGAGCGGCGTGTGTCCAGCTCCCCGCTCCGAGCGGCGCGCTCCGAGCAGGGGGAGGGGAGCGGGAGCCCAAGGCCCCGGGAGGGGCAGGGGAGACCGGCGCGGCGCACTGCGGCGCCGGGGAAAGTTGCAGCGGGGACAAGCGCGCGGAGCCGTC